TTTGTCGTTTCACTTTTCACCCTTGACCTCCTGTAACCTTCACAACTATAACAATTATCACCCACCACAACTACAACCACCACCACAATTCCAACCACCCACCACAACAACCACCATCAACCATCCTTGATCACTCACCTGTAATTTGCAAAAAAAAAACTGAGGTGCTCTTCCAAGATATACGAATTTGTTCACTATTATTAATTTTCTCAATCTATTTATTATCTTTTATTTCTTCTCCCACCTTTGTTAAGGGACGGATCAAAGGACACAGATACCATGAAAGAAATATGTGGGGAGAGAGAGAGAGAGAGAGAGAGAGAGAGAGAGAGAGAGAGAGAGAGAGAGAGAAAGAGAGAGAGAGAGAGAGGTAGAGTACAAGACAAAAATTACTTATATTTTTCCATTTATGATCTTGGGTTTTCTTCTCTTCTTCTGTTACTTTCTATTCGTTTTGTTTTTTAATTCTAGTTATTTTATTTATTTGTTGTCTTTGTTTTCTGTCCGGGAGTAAATGGTTGAGAATATTGAAGGGTGATTATTTGTCGTGTCTGGTCTGTGATGCTGGTAATGAGAAGGGTCAGTAGAGGAGGTGGAAGAGGGAAGAGGAGGAGGAAGAGGAGGGGGATGAAGGAAGAGGAGGGGGATGAAGGAGGAGGAGGAGGGAGGAGGATGAGGATGAAGGAGTTGGAGGATGATAATGGAGGAGGTGGATGAGGGATGAGAAGGAGGAGAAGGATGAAGGGGGAGGATGAAAGGGAGAAGGAGGATGAAGGGGAGGGTGAAGGGGAGAAGGATGATGAAGGAGGTTGGAGATGGAAGGGGGTTTCCAATCATCGTTCTATTACTACTAGTTGAAGGTATTGAACGCGATAGAGACCAAGGCATAAAACTGCTAGCCAAGGACCCGTCGTGCAGCAGTGCCCTTCCCCCCCTCCCCTCCCCCCTCACAAGCTCCTGGAACAACTAACTGACCATTATCAACCGCGAGCTCTTTTTAAAAGGCTCGGTTAACGGCCACTATTAAGACGTATCGTGCAAGCCCCCCTCCCCAGACCCACCACCACCACCACCACCACCACCATTCAACGCTTCAACCGGCATGCAATGGACCCAGGCCGAGTCCAGTTCTGGCGTCTTTTCTGTGTAGCGAGCGGCTCATCTGGCTCCCAGTGGTCAGTCCAGCAGGAACCCGCTTCACCCACTCCTTCCCCCTTCTTTCAACCCTTTTCATCGCGTTGCACTTGATTTGATCCACGTTTCTTCCTCCTTCAAGATCTTCTTCTTCCTCCTCCCCCACTTCCCCCTTCTGTATTCCTCCATCATCTGTCAGGTCTAACTACGTTGATCTTACTCACTAATGCAATGTAACTTACTCTTGGTACCAATAGGTGATTGAGACATGGGATTGTGGGACTATTAAGTTAGGATATATAATTTTAATTAGGGTAAATTCCTCGGAGGTGGGCTACCCCGGGTTTGGTCATCTCACAGAAGAGAGCCATTGTGAAGGAACAATTGGCCAGTTGTTTAGAGAGGGTGCGGGCGGTAGCGGCTCCCCACGCCCTTGCACGGGTCTCCTCCCTGGCAAACCTCGAACCTCCACATTGTCCACCACCCCTTTTACCTGAGCTCTGGCCAATCATACCTGAACTCTTGGCCAGTCCCTACCTGATCTCTGGCCTTTCCTACCTGAAAATTGGACTTATTTATGTAAGTCTTGGCCAGCTAGACCTACACAAATCCTGGTCAGACCTACCTGAGTCCTGGCCAGACCTACCTGAGTCTTGTCCAGGCCTACCTGAGTCTATATGCCGAACATGACAAATGACCACATCGTTGAGTATTTGCTGTTGTACTTCTCTACCACCACAGTACTTATTAGAGTTTCCCCTGCTACGTACTCTGTGATTGTTACTCTGATTGGTACTCTAGTTGATATTCTGATTGGTACTCTGGTTAGTGTTCTAGTTGATACTCTGATTGGTACTCTGAATGGTTTGTACTCTGTTACTCTGGTTGGTACACAGTGATTGGTGCTCTGTGTATTAACCTCCTTAGGTCTTGTCTTATAATGACATTCACCCGTATCGTCCAAAAGGTTAATCTTGCTTGACCTATTACCCCGAGGTCAATGCCGTGTCCCCCCCTACCCCACGACTCTACCTCCATCAGCCCCTCCCCTTCTACCCCCTCCCCCTCCTCTCCCTCCCCCTTACACAAGACCCTAGTGACATCTCTACTCCCCCCCCCTCCCCCCTTGGTAAACACCCCCCTTGACCCACCCACATGGCGTTGGTGTTTGAGTACCTGTATGGTCTGGTAATTACCTTTGATTTAGTGTTTGGTTACACATCTTTGAGAGGACCATTCGTGTGTGTGTGTGTGTGTGTGTAAAAACGAAAATATATGCTACTATACCTATGTCTATATACCTGTATGTATATATGAATGCTGATAAACAATAATAATGATATGCATTATTATTATTATTATTATTATTATTATTATTATTATTATTATTATTATTATTATTATTATTATTATTATTATTATCATCACTACCTAAAATTATCCTCAAACATTACTAAACATTTTTAAAGGTTATATAAAACCTTAAGACGATAAACGATATAGAAGAAAGAAATTAAAGTTAAGTAAAGACTCTTCAGCTACCATTATGGCGGCGAACTTGTGTAGTGACTATACAGTAATATGCGGTAGAGACTTTACCAACACGCTCAGTCATAAGTTACTCTGTATATTTTAGGGGTAAATTTAAATATTAATAAAAAAAAAATATCCGAAGACATTTTATTGATGATCAAGTTTCAATGAATGATCATGAGGTCAGATGAAGTATTGTATGATCATTAATGGGGTTATGTCATTATTGTAACTTTTATTTAGATACAGATTATGTTAATACTACATATAAGAATATTCTCTATATCCCCATTACAGTAATTATGTTAAAAAAATACAATTGTCTTATTTACCATCGCTTGAATATTTTTTTTACTGTATACAAAGTTTTTATATAATTTTAAGAACAAGTTAAAATATTGTTACTATGATATACCGAATATATATTAAGAGCGTGTGTGTGTGTGTGTGTGTGTGCGTGTGCGTGTGTGTGCGTGTGTGTAATAATTAACGGTTTATTGAAAAAGTTCTGCAGCCCGAAGGCTGAAAATATACATTGGACATAAATGACTTATTACATACATTGGTGGTTTAACAAAAGCCTTCATTAGAGAAAGGTAAAGGAACATACAGTGAACATTCAGATTAATGTAGGTGTTGAACAGCAAACACGTAGTGTGTGTGTGTGTGTGTGTGTGTGTGTGTGTGTTGTTTTGACAGTGTTGGTGGTGTTAGTTATGAACGTGTGTGAAACTAATCTTGGTTGTCCGTATTAATAAGTTTGTTAATGATATCAGAACGTCACTCAGGATCTAATCGTTCATCTAATTATTCAACTATGAATATATTTATATCTTTACATATTCATATCTCTCTGTATACATTCATTAACGATGTATTATGCATGAGTGTACACAGTAAGACACAAACACACACATACTCTATACATACATTAACGACGTGTATGTATGAGTGTACACAGTAAGATACACAAACACACACATACTCTATACATACATTAACGACGTGTATGTATGAGTGTACACAGTAAGATGCACAAACACACACAGGAGAGTTATGGGGTCGCGTGCAGGGAGAGTATCGTCGGTATCAACAAATAAAAAAATACTCCAAGTCGCGGCGAATCAAGGATGACTGTTCACAATCTCTTGTCTGCATGGCTTTCACTCTAACCAAGCTAAAGCTAAAACATAATTTAAAAGGTTTCCAATGCAACTTTATCCTGCCTAATGTGACAGCTATGAATGTGATCACCGTGAGACGTCCGACTCGGCTCATATTTATATCATGTTGAAAGAATTAGTTTGTAGTGTAAATTTTAAGTCCGTAATGATGTTGGGGAATATGGCATCTTGAGGTAACTACATGAATCGTATGTAACTTTAGTGACTTTGGAGAATCATAAGAGCTATAAACCCGACTTGGCTCTTAAGATCACATCTCATCCTGAAGCATTAGGCTGATGAGGGGTAAAAGTTTCGAATTACAATATGATAAAGTAATGAAATTAACTGAAAACTAAATTATGGTGACTTTTTTAGTTTATTGTTGTTATTATTATTATTATTATTATTATTATTATTATTATTATTATTATTATTATTATTATTATTATTATTATTATTATTATTATTATTATTATTATTATTATTATTATTATTATTATTTAAAAACTCTAAAAAATATATTTCCTATTGAAGCACACTGAAGCAATTTTCGAATAATTCAGAAACAGCGTTAAGAAAAAAAAAGAAACAAAAAAGATTAGGTGTGTGTAGGCCGTTTAGACGGGTTACTGTGGTGGAACAGCGCTAGGTTTCCCAACACGGTGCGGCAAACAGGGCTGTAGGGGAACTGGATGCTGTGATGCTGTCGACGAGCGAGTGAAACAGCATCAACGAATGACAGTCTCTTAACAGCAGTAGCGGTGGAAAGAAGTAGCGATTCACAGCAATAAGAAAAATTATAAAATTTCACAGCAATATTTGTAATTATAAAAAACCAGCAGATCACAGCAGCAACAGCAATAGGAAGAAACAGCAGTTCACAGCAGAAATATCAGGAACATCAGCGGAAGAGTTAACAGCACTACAGCAGAGTCGCCAGTAGGCTTATAAACAGCAGTACAGTAATATTGCCCTCAAAGATATAATCATGGTTAAGTACAGCAAGTTCCTATAATTAACAGCAGCAGCTCACGTAAACATCCATAACAGCACATTACAGCAAAATATCAACATCCCAACATCATTTAACAGCAACGTAGACTCGCCAAACATCGATATCAACATCTGTAGCAGCAGCATCCTAACATATTAACATTCTTACATCAGCAACATCTTGACAAAAAACTGAGGAACTTCAACATCGTGAGGGTCATTTACATCAGCAACATACAAAGAACCACGTCAACCTCACCAGCAGCACAGCCAGCGAGTCGACAGACGCTGCAACCATCACAGCGACATCTAGAGATCTTCTGCAACATCATCTCAAAAACGACAACATCAACGGCAGGATCGCAGCACCGTTAACAACACCATTAGTGACAGCAATACAACAGAGTCGACTTCCAGAACACAGCACCCGTCAACAGGAACAAATACAACAGCAGGTACAGCAATAACAGCAGTAGCCACTATGTACGCTACTAACACAGCGGAAGTACCACATCGACGATAGGCTATAACAGCAAGAGTGAAAATGAACGTTTCATCGATGTAAAAAGTAGCACAGCAGCGGCACAGCAGGAGCAGCACAGCAGCGGCATCTAGGGTGGTGGAGGCAGCGGGAAGGGCTGTAGACGCCTGTGTTGACACAAGGTGGTCGCCGCCGCTGACCAGAGACGCGTCCAGACCCCAGCGGCCACGGCTTCTGCCTCCCGTCCCCTCCTCTGCTTCTTGTTGCCGCTGCTGCACCTGCTACCGCTGCTTCCCGTGGCCGACAGTCACTGCTACTCGTGATGGTCCTTACTAGGAAAGAAGAGTAAAAAACGACCTTTTAGGTGAATGTGTTTTCAACTGCATGTCTTATGAATAATATATATATATATATATATATATATATATATATATATATATATATATATATATATATATATATACTGTATACAGTAGAATAAATCACTAAAATTTATTCCTTTAATTAAACAATTACTTGCTATTGAACACCACTGAAGCGAGGTTGACAGTCAATTTCCAGAGGGTTGTGGTGTGAGGGAGGGTGAGGGAGGCAGTATGTCATGATCACTAGCACAATGGTCGGTCGTAAATGGAGGACAGGAAGTTGGTCGGTCCGTTCAAGAAGAGAGAGAGAGAGAGAGGAGAGGGGCTGGGTTGGGCGCGGCTGAGGACCAAGCCGGAGCCTTGGTCGGGACGCGGCTGTTTGGGGACCATAATGATAAGTAAAATATTGTGTAAACATACCCATGCGCTCGGGGGGACATTAAAAGAAACATTACATCAAAGTCACAAATACATATACTGCATATAAATGTTTACCGCTTTTATTGGTTATATTTTATTAATGAAAGAGCAATTGCTGTTCATCTCAGTGCTACACAAGTCATACTTCGTTTAAGTATGTATGAGACAAACATGGCATTCAAAACCTAAAATACACACTAAAATAAATTGAAAGGAGTATGTCAGAGAAACTTAATGCGTTTCCATTTATTCATTTCCGACGATTTTAATGTCAGCTTATAGTAAATATTAATTTACTGTGGAATTAAAAGACCACACTTAATGTAACGCTGACCCGACCACCACTACCATCACCACCAGTCGCTTCCTCTAACACTGTTCTTGGTTTTATCTTGCTTATTGGTTCTCCATACCGTACAAGGTCTTCCCCTCATGGTCGCTACCTTCTCGAGGGCCTCACCGTGTTGGAGTTAAAAAGAAATATTCATCATAATCCATTTATATATATATATACATTTACATATATACACAGAGGCTACAGTGTCAGAAGTGTGAGTTTGGATCTGTATGATGTCACTCGTTATGATACGTTTAAGAAAGGAGGAACTGTATACTGAACTAGTCACGTTAACCACCGAGACAAACACACACACACACACACAAACACACAATCACACACACATTAAGTCGTCTATTACGTACTACTAGAAACTATCGAACTTAAAGAAAACTAGATTGCTATTAAGTCTTGAAGTGAGGGGGAGTACTTTAATGGAGTCGTCGCTATACCTTTGATATAAACACTCTTACAGTACCCGCGGGACGTACACACACACACCTACTCCTGCTGCTGGGGAGATGTGTAGTCTGTATAAAGTGGTGTAAACTGTGGCGAGTGACTTGTTAGCTTGGTGTTGAAGGATCAGTTCACTTTCTTGTTTTATCTTCGTGTGTGGAGTTTAAAGCCTTCTTCATCAGCCGTTTGTGTGTGTGTGTGTGTGTGTGTGTGTGTCTTGCTACTAACACTTTTTAAGAGGTAGAGGAACAGATGGTGGTTAATTTTTTTTAGGTTGTGGTAGAGGTTGTTGTTATTCACGTCTTTTCTGTTATTCTGTAAAGCCATCACACCAGGTCCTGTCCCAGTGATGGTAGTGGGTCTTGGGTCTGAGCTTAACCCCGTGTCCTATCTCGTCCGCTCCAGCTCACCCTTAACACATGTCCGTGTCCTGTGATGCCCACTTGACGTGTCCCTACGCCTGTCCGTCCGTCTGTCTGTCCTCGTGTATGTTCCTCTGTCCGCCCATCTCTCCGAGGCAAATCAGTCAAAAACTCTGGCAAAAGTCCGGCTCACTTGACCGTGGGGGCGAGACTGGCAGACTCTTGACAGGCCCTTGACAGGTTGATGGTGTTTGCCAGCCATAATGACACATATGATGTTTCCTACTCGCTCGACCCTTGTCCCAGTGACGTTATAAATATTCACCGACTGCTATCATAGTGGACATAAGATTTTTTTAGACATTTTTTTTCATTTTTTCTTCTTTTTTTTCGTGTGGCGTGAGGGCAGTGTGGAAGGATGGGAAGATGGAGGGATGGACGATGATGGAGAGTCAGCGGAAGTGATGGAGGGAGGGAGGGAGGGATGGAGGGCACGTTCAGTCGTAGTAGAATTTAGTTATTCACGACATGATATTGGAAGGGCCAATTTTTGTGTATATCGGAGCGAAGGATGAATCTACAACTGGGTTATTGGGAAGGGAGTTTTTAAGGGGACGCGTCACTAATCGGGACGCGGCTATTAGGGATGTGGTTATGCTTGCCTCCGTCAATACATATCAGACGAGGTGGAGTTGTGGAGGATTGGGTGGCTGGATGGGTGACGATAGGATTGTGTGGGTGGATGGGTGGTGGGAGAAGTGGATGGGTGGATGGGTGGTGGGAGAAGTGGATGGGTGGATGGGCAGGTGATGGTGGGTAGGTGGGGATTTCAGGTTAGGTTAAACTGTATGATAAATATAGTGTCATTGCTGTTATATATATATGTTGATATTCAAGAAGTATAGTAACCGGGTATATCGTGTAGTATAGCACAGTAGGTATAGTAAATGATATAGAACAGCTGATATATTAAACGGTATAGTACAACGTGTAGATTACATGATATAACGAAAGGATATATTACAATGTATACTAAACCAGCTGTGTTCAAGTCATATAGTTAAACATATATAATTAAATACAGTAGATATAATATACATCACAATCAATATATATATATAAAACAGCATGGTACTGATTAGTGGTGTCGCTTTGAGTCTGTCTGTCTGTCTGTCTGTCTGTCTGTCTGTTTGTCTGTCCGTCTGCTTGTCTGTCCGTCTGCTTGTCTGTCTGTCTGTCTGTCTATCACCACTATAATACGTGATGATTGTTTCTTACACAGGCAGGAATTTATGGCAGAATAGTGTCATTATGTTAGAAAGGAGAAAGTCACTTGTCCTCCCGTCGATAGCTCTTGTTCGCTCTTCACGCATTCGCTCATTAAATTGCTCATCAACTTTCACTAATAATATCGTGAAGAAATTAGAAATTATATTAAGTCCAGCAGTGAACGTCTGTCTGTTTGTCTGTCTGTCTGTCCGTCCGTCTGTCCGTCTGTCTGTCTGTCTGTCTGTCTGTGTCTTATTACTTTAGGGAATTATTGAAAAAGGGAAAATCATGTGGTTGTCTCTGGTGAGTGTGGTGGTGGTGATTGTGGTGGTGGTGATTGTGGTGGTGGTGATTGTGTTGGTAGTGATAGTGATGAGCTTAAGGGTCATTGATATAATGTGAAGGCCTACTAAGACTCGGTTCATCATAGACTCAACTCATCATAGACTCAACTAAGACTCAACTCATCATAGACTTAACTCAGTCTCAATTCATCGTAGACTCAACTAAGATTCAACTAAGACTCAATTTATCATCAACTAAGACTCAACTCATCATAGACTCAACTAAGACTCAACTCATCATAGACTCAACTAAGACTCAACTCATCATAGACTCAACTAAGACTCAACTCATCATAGACTCAACTAAGACTCAACTCATCATAGACTCAACTAAGACTCAACTCATCATAGACTCAACTAAGACTCAACTCAACTAAGACTCAACTAAGACTCAACTAAGACTCAACTCATCATAGACTCAACTAAGACTCAACTCATCATAGACTCAACTAAGACTCAACTCAATAATTCCCAACCAAATGAAGTAAACACAGACTCATTTCGTATCTCTTATTAAAATAAGACTCCTCTGCTTCTTAGCTGTTTTAATTAACATATAACATAATACTTCTCCAGATTATTTGACGTAAATTAAATATTTCCTCTTGTTTAATTTCCTTGAGTCAACTTTTAAATTGAACTGAAGTTAATATATGAAATTGTGGAGAACATTTGCTTGGGCTCTGAACGGAAGAGTCTTAGAGAGATAAAAAAAAGTTTGGTTAGGTTAGGTTTGGTTTGGTTTGGTTTGGTTTGGTTTGGTTTGGTTCGGTTTTGGCTTGGTTCGGTTTGGTTCGGTTCGGTTCGGTTTGGTTCGGTGGGTTTGGTTTGGTTTGGTTTGGTTCGGTTTGGTTTGGTTTGGTTTGGTTTTGGTTCGGTTTTTGGTTTGGTTTGGTTCGGTTCGGTTGGTTGGTTTGGTTTGGTTTGGTTCGGTTTGGTTTGGTTTGGTTTGGTTCGGTTTGGTTTGGTTTGGTTCGGTTTGGTTCGGGTTTGGGGGTTTGGTTGGGTTCGGTTCGGTTCGGTTCGGTTCGGTTTGGTTTGGTTTGGATTTGGTTTGGTTTGGTTCGGTTTTGGTTTGGTTCGGTTTTGGTTTGGTTTGGTTGGTTTTGTGTTAGATTAGGTTAGGATATTGTTTTGGGTCTTATGTATAATAATTCTTAACATATAGATAATTTCTTCTGTTATTTAAAATAATTCTCGGTAGACAATAATTCCTTCTTTACATTAAGATAAAAATAACTCTCACTATACACCAATTTATTCTTATCCTAGTCGAGAAGAAAAAAAAAACATTGTCACTATTTGATAATATATTCTAATGTGTTTTCTTAAGTATCG